TTGACCACGAGCTTGGTGAAGAGCCTGGGAGCCGTAGAGAGGCCAAAGGGCAGCGCCTGATACTGGAAATGCTGTCCATAAATGCAAAAACGTAGGTAGCGTTTGTGTGCCGGGTGGATCGGCACGTGCAAGTACGCCTCCGTTAGATCTATAGACGTCAGGAACTCGTTCGGAGAGAGAGAGTCCGCAATTGTTTTCAATGTCTCCATGCGGAAACGTCGAAGGCGAATGAATCTGTTCAAGAATTTGAGATCCAATATTGCTCTCCAGTCCCCGTTCTTTTTGGGGACCATAAACAGGATCGAATACACTCCGCAACCCCTCTGGTCTGGTGGAACAGGTTCTATGGCCTTGATGTTGATCAGGTGTTGTAGAGCCTTGTTGATTATGTTTCTTTTTATTGTCGATTTGCTTGCCGGTGATTGCAGAAAACGCTGCGGGGGTTGATGAAGAAATTCTATAGTATATCCCCGGGACACGACTTCTACTGCCCAGGCGTCCGCCTGTGCCTCTGACCATGTCCGTGCAAAGTGAAGAAACCGTGCCCCCACAGGCGAACTGCTGCAGTCAATTTTGTTTAGGTTTGGACTCCCTTGCACCCCTGTCGCTTCGGCCGAACTGAGACCTCTGGAATCTGGGGTTGAAGGAACCACGCCTGTTGAATTGCTTGTTGGCCTCCCAAGACGATCTTTTGTTGTCCTGACGGAAACGCGGCAGGGTATGTTGGGATCGAAAGGACTGAGAGCCTCGCCTATCCGGATTTCTCAGTGACCGAGGCATTGCCTTCTTTTTGTCCCTAGTCTCGACTAGAATGGTGTCGAGAGCGTCTCCAAACAAACGATCTCCCTGGAATGGGTATGCCGTTACTATAGATTTGGACTGTGAATCTGCTTGCCATGCCCGTAGCCAGAGCATCCTTCTGGCAACCGCAGTGGAGGCCAGACCTCTAGAAGCGAAAGATATGATGTCCAGAGTCGCATCGGCGGTGAATGAATCTGACTTGAGTGTGCGGCTGATACCTTCCAGGAGAGCCCTGTTGTTTTCAGGAACTAGCTGGATCAATTTACGCAGCCATACGATGGATGCCCTCGCCGCGATGGAGGCTGTGGAGGCCGCTCTGACCATCATGGCTATTGATTCGTGTATTCTACGAAGAGTAGCCTCTAGTTTCTTGTCTGTGGCCTCTCTGATGTTGCCCAATCCGTCTTCGGATACCAGGCCAGCCGTCTGGAGAGCTGCTACGGGAGCATCCACTGGAGACACCTGCAAAAGCTCATCTGCATAATTAGGCATTGCATACAGCTTTTTTGTGAATGAGGGAAACTGCTTGTTTACAACAGGTTTGTCCCAGCCAGATCTCAATTGACGTTCAAAGTATTCTGGGAAAGGGAATACTTTGTCAAAACACTCTTCTGGTGGGAAGAATTCTTTATTACCACCAGATTTGGACTTAATCTTTGCTCTGGCAGCCTTCTGATACTCAGAAGCGGGGATATCATGCAATTCCAGAGCCTTAATTGCTTTAGTCAGAAGGTACTGGTAGTCCTCTGATTTGAAAAAACGACTAGATTGTTCTGGAAGCCTTAACTCTTCCAACTCATCTTCAGACAAAAACTCGCCCTCCTCTCTTTCCTCCATGGAGGATGCATTAGAGTCTAAATCCTCCCCCCATTGTTCACCTGTGGGTGGCCTTGGAGGGGGAAGGGGAGCCTTCTTTGCCGCCTTAGTGGGCCATCCTAAGGGCGTCTGCAGGTCTAAGAGGGCGTCCCCCTGTCGGGATGGCAGCTCGG